CATAAGAGCTCTTTACCAAGGCTTTGTAATTTTTGGGAGGAAAAACTGCAAAGCCACGCTGGACATGGAGAAAGCAAGTAGCCGTGTCCATGTGGCTTCAGAACTTATACAGCCAGATCGATCCACCAATTAATTTCATGCTCCCTTTTCACACTTCCATGTTAGGAAAGAAAATTCATAGTATATGGCGGGGGGGGGGGGAGAGAGTCAATAAAAATCCAATTCCGAATAATAGCCCTATGCAGCCCTGCAAAACGGGAGAATTACCAGCTCCTTCAATGTAAGGGCAGTTAATTCAATGAAATAAAAATAATTTACGCATTCCAAGCAAACCAGCCAATGAAAAATCACTGTCATTTATAAAAATCATGAAGCTGCTGTGTTTACCCAACTGTTCAATTTAAGGCGAGCGTCCTTAGAAAAAAAAAGTGTGGAAGAAAAGTAATATCTGAAATGCACAGGAAAAAAGGGGGATATGCAGAAAGTGGGCCTTCTAGGGGCTCACCCCAAAGAAAGGTTTAATCTTCTGAACATGCTCAAATAACGTGTACACAAATGGACAGATCTATTTCCTCTCATCCTGCTGATGACCCCTTCCCTGTAAAAGTATTTTCTGGAGGCTGGGAAGACTCCTGAATCTAGCAGTGTCATAACCCCTGAATCTAGCAGTGATCCAGACATGGAGTTGGAGACTGTGGGGGAAACCAGGTGGGGAGCCATAGATGACTGTTGACGATAGGGAGACCATTGTGCTTGAAGCTGTCAAGCAGCAGCCCCCAAAGGAATCTCTCAGTCCACCAGGGCCTGTAGGGCCAGAAATCAGAACCTCGTGGTCACCTTCCTTCGAAGAACCAAATGCCTCCACAGCACAGCACCCGTCCAGCAGTACAGGAAGTGCACCAGGAGGCAGGTTATAGGAGTAGTGTTTGTCTTCAGGAAGAGGGTTGGCCCTTTAAGGCTCTTCCCTACAAATGGAGGGAAGTTGGAGGAGGTAGTTTGGAGACAGAGACTTAGGGCTCTTCCACACTTCCTCGTGTCTTGTGCCAAGAAATCACAGGTCCAAGCAGTTTTCCACTTGTCATTTGCTTTCTAGGCATGGTTTTCCCTTTGCCCCACTGCTTTCCCCCAGACAACCTACTCTTTAGCATTAAATCGGAACAAACGAGAATCTGCAGAAAACCTGGTTGTTGTTTGTTCTGATTCAGAGCTAAACAACGGGTTTTAAATTGGACAAAAAAATAGGATTCCAGGTGGAAAAATCGAAACTTGAGACAGAGTTGTTAGAACCAAAGACCAAGGTATTATCGAGAATGTACAACTTGCTGCTTAAATGGAATACACAGGATGAGACAGTTAAATCAGCCATGATAAAGTGGGCTCAAGACATTGGTTACAATATCATGTTTGAAGACTGGGAAAGGTTATGGACCACCGGTATGAAATTTACGGCATGTAATGCCTTGAAAGAAAACATTATGAAAATGATATACAGGTGGTACATGACCCCAGTCAAGCTTGCTAAGATATACCATTTGTCTGATAACAAATGTTGGAAGTGTAAGGAGGCTGAAGGAACATTCTTTCACCTTTGGTGGACTTGCCCAAGAGTGAAGGCCTTCTGGGAAATGATCTACAACGAGTTAAAAAAGGTGTTTAAGTACACCTTCCCTAAAAAACCGGAGGCCTTCCTCTTGGGTATTGTCGGCCAAAAGGTGTTAAAGAAGGACAGAATGTTTTTTATGTATGCTACCACAGCAGCAAGAATTTTGATCGCCAAACATTGGAAGACTCAAGATTTACCCACGCTGGAAGAGTGGCAAACGCAACTGATTGACTATATGGAGTTGGCCGAAATGACTGCCAGAATCCGAGACCTGGGAGAAGAAGCAATGGAGGAGGACTGGAAAAAATTTAAGAACTATTTACAAAAATTTTACAAGTTATATGAACTATAAAATGACGCACAATCTGAAATGCTAGCCCCAGTAACGAGAGTGTAATATTTATGAAATTGGATAATATTACTGAAAGAATCAAAGTTTAAATGTTAAGAATGATAATATGTCTTGTTTTCAGGGTAAATGGACAATAAGGGATTTAAACTTAAATTGCAACTGAAAGTACCAATAGAAACACATGAAACAAGGTTACAATTTGCTGATAAATTTATTATTAAGAATGCATTGTGCGGGAGATGTGGGGAAGTTTGATGGAAAGTTGGAATAAGCTGTTGAAGGGGTATGATTTTTCTTTTTTCTTTTACATTTTTCGTTTACTTTTTCTTCTACTGTTTTCTGTCTGTGTCTGAAAAAATGCAATAAAAATTATTATAAAAAAAAAAAATAAACAACGGGTTTTCCTGGGGGAAAGCAGCAGGGCAAAGGGAACTGTGGGTGAGGCCTTTAGAGGCTTCGAATTGTTCCCTCGGAGCTGACTAATGTCCAGGAACTTTTAATTAGCTTTGCCTTCAGCCTTTCTGCTTTCTCCGTGGGATCTACCATCAAACCAGAACAACAAAATCTCTCTAGAACAGATGGGGAGGGAGGGATTGAGGGGTCAAGGTAGAGAGGAAGAGGAGGAGTCTCATTTAGCAAATGGAAGTCTGTGTTTGGCACCACCCAAAGTCTGCACTTCTAAACATTGTTCATCTGAAAGTATGCATTTCAATCATATTCTGGCACATTTTTTAGCTGGGAACCATAACCCAAAAATTGGAAATGTGTATAATCAAAAGAATGAGGTTCCAAACTGGAAATTAGGCCAAAAGGTGCAGGATCATGTCAGTTTGCTGCAAGATTCACCAAAATAAAATTCTTTAAGTATCCTGAAATGGGCATGAGATGAAGTTTCTGTTCAAGTACAGAATCTAACACCTTCTGGCACCTTCACACAAGCCCAATATCCTCTCAGATTATTTATTTAATGCACTGTTTACCTGCTCATCATTGCAAATGCAATCTTAAATCCACATATATTCTGCAAGTACTAGAAGGTGTGTCTGGCTTTATCATTGTTACAGGTCAGCAGGTCCCCTGGGTTCCAAAGCATTCCCCAGGTCATGCTAAGCCTTTTAATGCATTATCGCTTTGAGTGCACCATGTTAGGATGCAGCTCTTCCAAGTCTCAAACTCTCAAGATTAACCAGGGAGGCATTTATGGCTGGTCTTGTTTCCATTTTGAATCTATGGCAGGTCATTCCCAAATTGGAACTGGAAACTTGACAACATCACAATAGACAAATCTGTTTCAGCTGAATATTCGAGAGGGTGGATCCAAATTTATCTCAAGTTACATGTGAAAGAAGATTTGCATGTGCTATTTAAGCACACTTCAGATGTCCCGTATATTCACACAGCCAATGAAAGTAGGGGAAGTGGGATTGTGGCAGCAAGCACCTTACTCATCCACAACATACCAACATATGAGCATTTTGTGCACATGTAGGATCACAAGTAAGGCCGTGGACTGTGCTTTTGGCACATGACTGCATGTGTGATTCTATGCATGTTGTGCATGGACAGCATAGATGTATAAATAAGCTTACAGTGAGGGTGGAACATTCTGCTGCATTCCCAATGTACATATGGATATTTTGACTGTAAGCCTAAGGAAATGTCTGAACAGTATTGTCAACTTTTAGTTTTACTTTTAGTGTGTCTTCTCATACGGAGCCTTATCAATGTGCTGTGCTTTCCATTCTCGTGTTTGATAGATGCATTTTTAAAAAATGAAAATGAAATTATGCAAAAAACAGAAGTTGCAGCTGATATACAACTATTAAACACACTGTGCAATTAAGGGGACACACTTTGTGAATTTCATTTAGTGAGAAGCCACACAGTGGGTCTATCATCTGCAGCTTCTCATGCCCTGGAGCGGCATTGAAGGTTGGTACCATACAGTAAGCTTATTGTGGAGAATTGCAGTCAAATCTAATTGAAGCTTCTTTGTTCACTCTCTATCCACCATGTGAAGCCAACCAGGCAACACATCTGGGCTTGCCCACTTCAAGCCCAGACTACGTGGTCAGAAGTATTTTTCTGAATTTTGTAACCCAAGAATTTCTACCTGTGTTCTTCTTGTTGCTACATGGAATATCACATGAACCTGAAGTTTGGAGTCTGTAAGTAAAACCATTTAAACTTACTAAAGGTGTGGTCTGTTCATTGTGAGTGTGGTAGAAATGGGGGAAAGTGCTGTAAGCAGGCTAAATGGAATATTTAAAAGGTCTAACAGCCTATTTGTAACACTTCAATGTTGCTGCATTTTTGTGACTTTTAAAGCTCTGCTATGGCTCTTTTACTGGAGAGTGCATTTAGCCCTGTGCTTGAGATCCAGATGATTCTTTTATTAATTTATGGACATGGTCATCTATTTCCCCATACATATCACCAGCAGCAACTATGTACTTCTCAATCATATTAAATCACCTTTTGTTAACCACAGAGATAGGGGACGAAGCTGTCAAAACATGTGAGTATTCAGCTACAGCAGATATATTTTGTACTTGTTACTGTATTTACAGTAACTGCACATGTATTTCCCATACGCTTATGAGGGACCCAGGCAAATTTTTAAATCCCAAGCTTTCTCCTTCAAACGAACAAAGTGAGTGTCCAATACTCACATGACCCGTAGTTGTGAATACTTGGAAGGGGGACACTGCAACTGGTATACACCCATGCTCTCTCCAGCACATGTCAGGCTTATATTTTGTTCTCAGGAATTGTAAACTAAACAGAAAATGTAGTAAGGAATCGATCTTAGTGCTCACCAGAGAGCTTGAAAACACTTGAATGTCAGAGAAGTGTTATGGTACAATTCTGCCTTTTTCCCTCTGTGTGTACATTCACCACCCATGCTTTCCCTATTCTTGCTGCTTTGTCAGCCTTGCTGACCACCAATGTTTGGACAATGGAGACTGTCAAGTGACCCAATGCCCAACAATAATCTACAGGGTTCATCCTCAAACTTCTGTAGCAAAGCTGGACAGCACTTACAGGCTATGCGGACCGAAGCTTTTCTGCTCTTTGAAGTCCCTAAGTGGCTCCATGCAACACACTGACACCAGTAGTCCTCTGGCCCATGAAAATCTTCTACTTGCTGCCTTGTCACATTGATGTATGCCTCACGAACCTTCAAGCCTGAATGGAAAAGATACAGGGAAATTAGCTGATAGAGAATGTCTTACTCAGGCATAACACTAAGGTTAGCCAAACCTTTTCTTTTTAATTAAACAATTCCATTTTTTAATCAAGGCAAAGCTTTAATTACTTTGACAATAATATATGGCTGCTAATTAAATTCTAACAGCCAAGTAGGTCAGAACGTATGAGCTGAAAGCATCCGCTTGCCAAGATGTGATTCCAGACTATGCAATATCTGCCTTTAAAATCTTCTGTTGGCACTTTCGCTCTTAATAAATAAATAAAGGTTGGTTTGTTCAGCTTTTTTCCAAAATAAAAAATTAAAAATGCAACAATAACACAGCAAGCAAGGCAGCAGTCTTCTAATAAGTGCTGGCTGCAATTCTAAGCACAGATTCTTGCTTAAAACAGGGCTTTCTTCATAGGTGAGTGTGTACAGTAGTATTTGGGGTGTATACTTTTTTTCATCCATCGGCTGTAACAAAGCATGGCAGCAGAATAATGGCCAAAAATAATAAGACAAGAGTGACTGAATGACAGAAAATCAAGAAATATACACAAAGCAACCCCAGAGAGAAACAGCAGCCCAGTGGCAAATGGTGCTCAGGAGCTGGCATTATTTTCATAATCCATCATCTTCCCATCTTTCCCGTCAATACGGCTTGCAAAAGTTAAAAACAAACAATCACGAAAGCAACAATGGTTAAAATTATATAAAATAGAGTAGCAGCTTATCTATGTGTGTAAATAGATAACACACAGTCAGCATTTACTGTGAATAGCCCTGCTTTTTTTCACCCAATCTTTATGGAGCATCTGCACAATGACATGAGCAAAATATCCCTGTCACATTTTCCCTAGGCAGCCTCCTCTCACTGGTGCTCAAAAAGCACAGAAAGCCTGACTTAAAATATCAGTGGAATAGCTAGGCAGTGTCCCTGGTGCAATATAACCCATGACCCAGCTATTCTCTCAGTATATGCCAGGTCGCTCTAATTTCTAGGAATGGTGAACTTGTCAATTTCCGTTTCTCTCCATTTCTCATTTCCCCACTCTTTCATTCATTTCAAAACATTTCCACCATAGTGTTTTGTTTTTTGTTTAAGTAAACCCTCCTGAAAATTCTTCAGTATTTTAGTGCAGGTTTCTCTTATTAGATATGCACTTGTATGCAATTTTGCCTAACAGACACAAGTTCACAAAGCAATTTTGCATAATCCAATGTACCTTTGCATGTTAATATATGCTTTTTAATGCATACTTCATCCATATTTATGCTTTTCGTATATACTACTTGGCTGGAGAACTGTGTTGCAAAATTCAGTGCACGATGGCTGCGTATTATTCATGTATTATTTCTCAAAAATATGTGAATTACATGAGTTCACCTTTGAATCCTAAGTGATCCAATTCCCACCTGCCCCAATTTCTAATTATTTCCAACAACAACAACAACAAATTTTATTTATACCCCACCCTTCCTGGCGAGGACTGGGCTCAGGGCGGCTAACATCAAAGTATATGATACATTAAAAACATAAACCAAACAGCTTAATCCTAGATTGTTCTAGCCCTCTGCTTTCCTACAGATTCTTTCTACGAATCAACAACTCTCAAATTATAACATCCCCCTTTCCAAATAGCACACCTGTGTTTTCTTAGGCCCTCTATACTTGAGTGAGGGCATTCTAAAGAGATCACAGTGAGAGTGGAGGGACCATTTAACCCTTTCCCCCAGCCCTAGTAAAAGTCCCCTTCTTCAATATTTGGGTCTGGGGGAAATGGGGACAGTCTATTTGGCAACTAAATGTTAGAAGGAAGCTGCCTTATTCTTATTCAGACATTTGGTACATCTAGTTTAGTATTGCCCACACTGACTGGTAGTGCTCTCCAGAGTTTCAGACATGGTTTACTCCCAGCCCTATGTGAAGTGCCAGGGATTGGACCAGGGACCTTTCAATAGCGGTCAATGTTTTCCTTTTTTAAGGGAAATTCCCTTATTCCGAATAGGATTCCTCGCAAGAAAAGGGAAAAGTTGACAGCTATGGACCTTTCTCATAAAAAAACAGTGGTTCTATCACTGAGCTACAGTCCTGTTCTGGGCCTAAAACAGAACAGAAAAGACTAAGTGCAACTGTATCATCCAAGTCTTGAATAACATGAGAAAGAATGCCAGAAAGTCAAGTTTAAAAACTGTGTCCATGTGGGAACCCCCAAACACAAGACCTTTATCCACCAAACAACTCTAAAAATAAATGTATTGTTTGTGTTCTAAAAAGACCAAGGTATATTGTGTGAATCAAAATATTTTTGCCATTACTTCATAGTTGCTGGATCAAAGTAGTCGCAGGATCAGAAAATTCATTCTGCTGGTAGCCTGGATAAACACTAATTTTTATCAGTTAGATTAAATGCTCATAGTCTCACAGGTATTGCTTCAGAAATATATTCTCACTATTTTCACGCACTTATAACATGGAATGTTTACCCCCTGTCTCTACAAATGCAAAGTTGCAGACTGAGAGGCCCTCCGTGATGCCGTCTGTCTATAATAGTTGAGGCTGTGTTAAAACTTTTGCTCCTACGCCTTCCTCAGCATCATCTCTGCACATGGATGGATTTCTTGTCCTCGACATAAGGATGCAACATTGCAAATTGATGTGTAAGCAACCAAAGGGAGGTCAACAGAGGCACTCACATCTGTTAATAGCTCAGAAATGGAATGAAGGAATATAATGCTTTGTCTGGGTTCTGATACAGAGCAGGAAAGTGCAACTGCCTGCCAGCTGCCACAACCCTATTACAGACTGCTAAGAATCACTCAAATGGCAGCTAGGGGAGAAAGGGCCTTGGGTATCATGTTGCGAACCACCAATTAGTCAGCGTTTCGATAGGGCAAGATGCAACTCTGGTCAGTATTTCAAAAGATCTACCTAAAGTAGGACTAGCATTGGATACAATTCACTGATGTGGGGGGGGGGCAGTTCACATTTTAATAGGAACCTACCTATTCTGCACTTCCACAGACAATACACAAAACAAAGCACAGTTAGCCTTCAAAATTCCAATTTCCCCAACCAGAAAATGTACACAAATATGTTTATATTAGGAGAAAGCAGGCATAAAAATGTAGAAATGAGTGAAAAGAACAAACAACCTGGCATTATATTAAGGAAAATGTGTCTGCTTTCAAATGTTCTTGGTGACTTTTAAAAACAACAAAATAGAAATCACAGACTGATGTAGAACCGTGGATAAATGAATTTAAGACGGGTAAGTGGGGAATTAGCTGTGTTAAACTGAAATTGGTAAAGCCGAGCTTCCAGCAAAACACAATGTGATCTAGCTAGTACTTATTGATATGAGATGTAAGCAGGTTACAAGCCTGTCCCTATTTTTATCAGTTAAATGTTGGAAGGTATGCAAATCCTAATCATCTCCTAATTAACATTACTGGTAATTGAGTAGTCCAATTAAATTTGCTAGACATCTGCAAAGCAGTTCCCAACTACTTTGGCAAAGTAACTAGCCCTGCACTTTGTAACAGATTTCCACCTCTTTGAAGGCTCATTTGCTTCCAAAGAGCCTTTCTTTCATCTATAAAGCTCAGATCTTGGACATTTATAAGCCTTGCAGAAACTGGTGTTTGATCACGATGTCGGGGACTTTGCAAATTAATTCGGAGAAACTTTGCTCAATATGAACTGCTAGACATCTCAGATGTAAAGCAAACCTTGTGAGAAATGACAACCTCAAGCTAAACAAAATGAGACGGTGGCTTCCAACAGGAAAGTACTGAGAGATACAGAGACGAGGCTTGTCAAGGGCTCAAAATCTTAAATGCCTGTCACTTCACAGATATCAATACAATGGACTTCTCTCCAGAATCCAAATTTAAATCTTCCAGCATCACTAGCTAATGCCTTGATTAAATATCTCAGGAAAAGCTTTCAAAAATCCCCAGAACAGAAACACTCGGGCAGATATAGAACAAGGCTGGAGACAGTCAACAGATATTGAGAGAGGGGGAGGGGAGGGGAAGGGAGAGAGAGAGAGAGATTTGCATGGCAGGTATGTAGCCTACCATACAACGTAAGAATCACACCTGTTCCTCAGGCTACTGTTGCCTCCAAACCTGCCCACCATTGATGTGTGGCCCCTGGAAGGTAGTCTATGAAGGAATGTGTCCTTCAGGATGAAAAATGTGTCCCCTTCCCTATAGCAACCCTAGTGCCCGCCAGACAATGTGGACTACACCTCACATAAAACCCATTAGCATGGACACATAATAAACTTCACAGTGGACTTTGTGCCTTAGTCAAGCCCAACATCTTAGTACAGTCATACCTCATGTTATGTTTCATCCGGAGGTGACCCGGAAGTACCGGAAAGGGTTACTTCTAGTTACTTCTAAGATGAAGGACCAGAGGTTAACCACCCCTGTCTTAGAACAATTAATAAGAACTATTTCACGACTATGCACCACTACATTGCCTATCTTTGATTCCATCACAGAGAATGTTTCTATTTCAATACCCCCTGGAAGGAGATGAGGATCTGCCTGGGCTCCTCCAGGTGACCTTTTTAATGAGCATTCATCCTGATTTGCTTACATGAAGCTTACACGGAGGTTTGATTGTGAGCATTTGAGCATGTTGGCAGGAAGGCCACAGAACCATGAATATTCATCTTGGTTTGCTTGTGGCATGTTTGTGAATCTTCCTTTTAATCATCTGTTCATGCCACCCTTTTCCCAAAATGTTTCCTGTCACTTACATAACCACAAAAAATATGTTTCTTTTTAAAAGTGTATCAGTTGAACTAGGAAAACAGGGCATTTTAATGTGCTTTGATTGTGAAAACCTACATTTCCTGGTGGGCGCTTGAATCCATCCCACAAAATACCGACAGTTGCCCCTGCCCCAAGATGCCCCTCCTCAGTTCTTAAAAATCTCATTTCTGTTCTTCACCATTCCCAGAATTAATAATTTGTTGTT